TCAAACCCAGCAGCAGCTCTGCAGGAGAAAGATGTGGCAGTCTGCTCCCATAAAGGTTTACAGCCTTGGAGACTCTATGGGGCAGTTCTACTCTATCCTATAGGGTCACTATGAGTTGGAATTGACTTGACAGCAATGGGTTTGGTTTGTTGAGTTTATACACATATATGTCTGCATACATACATATATATATACCCACTCATATATTTTTCAGTTGTTTTTGCTGTTGTTTGAAAATTATATATGCCATAGCAATTACCAACAGGTCTTTTTCTCTTGTTTACTTTTTAGTGACATCGTTTGCCTTCATCAAGCTGTGTACACATCATCCTCATTCAGTGTTACCTTTCCCATCACCAAAAATAACAACTACTATCTAGAGAGTGAATCTCCCTCTCCCTCCCTCTTCAATCGCTAGTAACCACCAATGAACATTAGTTTCTGTGTATTTACTTGTTCATGTCATTTCATAAAAGTGACAACATACAATATTTGTGTGTGTGTGTGTGACTGACTTACTTCATTCAACATAGTGTCCTCCAGGTTCATCCAGCTTCCAAGATGTTTTGGGAACTCATTTTTCTTTTTTGCTGAGTAGTATTCCATTGTATGTATGTACCACATTTTACTTATCCATTCGTCCGCTGATGGGCACTTAGGTTGTTTCCATATTTTTGCTATTGTGAATAGTGCTGTGATGAATACAGGTGTGCATACAGTTGGTTTGTATCTTTGTTATTATGCTTTTCGTGCTAACTGTTATACTATAGTTTTGTCTATGTACTTCTTCCTCCAACTAGGTAAGTTCTTGGTGGCAGAGACATGGTCTTATTTTTTAAAAATCATCTAGCACTGTGACTTGAACATAATAGAGATGTTATGAGTGTTTATTAAAAAGGGCTCTGACAGGTATAGCCTGGCAAATAAACAGAAATTTATTATCATTACTATTATAACTACTACTATCTGTGACTGTATAGGGTATGATTACAGTAGCTGTTGGCATGATTCTGAGTAGTAGAGTTGGGTGGGGTTAGATTGGGGCAACCGCAGGGGGATTATCTGCATAAATTCTGGCTTCATGTTTTTTTGTTCCCTCTCATTAAATACAGCACGTCAGATGCTGAAGTATTTTTCTAGTCTTTAATTGGATCAGACATGAGATAATCAATTATTATGGGGTCTGCTAAAAGCCTTCTAATCCTCCTATGTTGTTACCGTATGACAAATGAGGCTTACGGAAATAACTAATTAGGTTCTTATCTAAGTTCCAGCTACAACTTGGGGGTTTATTTATTTATTCATTTTTAAAAAATTTCAGTGTTTGCTTGTTTTTTGCTATGTGCTAGACACTGTGGTAGGCATTGCACATGGCCAGTGGAGGCCAACAGAGCTCCAAGGTCTGTCTTGTTATTGTGTATCGTTGAGCCAATTCTGACTTATAGAGACCCAATAGGACAGAGTAGAACTGCCCCATAGGGTTTCCAAGGCTATAATCCTTATGGGAGCAGATCAGTAGGTCTTTTCTCTTGAGAAGCCGCTGGTGGATTTGAACCACCAACCATTCTGTTAACAGCCAAGCACTTAACCACTACATCACCAGGGAGCCACCAGGGCTCCTTCAAAGGTCTATACTATATAGATAAAACAGTAACTTCCATAAAGAGGCAAAATGACTAGTCAAACACTGTAATCCAAATCAACGTGAACGTATAGGTGGGGATCTTTGACCTTAGTTTAACGTATTAGGTAATTTTTCTTTTCTTGTAATAATTGGATCTATCAACGTGCATGAATCTAGCACTTATGTTATGCATTTGTTGAAAATCTACATTTAAAACATTTGGAGCTTACTTGTAAAAGCAATTTTACTCTAAGACCAAGGAGTAAAGACAAGAATGACTGGGCCACTAGAAACTATGCTGAGAACTATGATCACTTTTATGACTGACTTTGGGCAAGTGACCTAACATTAGTTAACTCATCTGTAAAACTGGGATCCAAAAACCAAACCCACTGCCGTCTATTTGATTCCAACTCATAGCGACCCAGCAGGACAGAGTAGAACTGCCACATAGGTTTCCAAGGCTGTAATCTTTTACGAAAGCAGACTGACACATCTTTCTCCCATGGAGCGGCTGGTTGGTTGGAATCGCTGATCTTTCTGTTAGTAGCTGAGCACTTAACCACTGCGCCACCAGAGCTCCTTGAAACTGGGATAGTAACAGGATATATCACCACCAGTCTGTGAGTTTATTGTACTGTGGCAGCTTTGCGTGCTGCTATAATGCCACTTGTGTTTCAAATACCAGTAGGGTCACCCATGGTAGAAAGGTTTCAGTGGAGCTTCCAGAATAGGACAGACTAGGAAGAAAGACCTGTTGATCTATTTCCAAAAATTAGCCAATGTATAGCCTATGGATCACAACAGAATATTGTCCAGTATAGTGCAGGAAGATGATCCTAAGTTGGAAGGCACTCAAAATACACAGTGGCTGCAATAATGGACTCGAGCATACCAACAATGGATAGGATGGGACAGGACCAGACAACATTTCATTGTGTTGTACATGAGGTCACCATGAGTTGCAACCAACTCAATGGCAACTAACAACAACAACAGGATATACTAGATTTTCTTGGGGAATTAGATTTACATATTCAAGAAACTATGCTGCCTTTGCAAATTGTTGCTAAATAAATTTGATGCCTGGAGATTTTATTAGAGCTATTTCGTGTGAAAAATACAAATTAAGTTTATATTCCTTCTTAGAATTTACTAGAGAGTCCATAGTTTTAAAGTGCAAGAAATGGGTAGCACCTGTGAAATATACATTTCTGTATCCTGTTTTGAATGTGTGATCTATGGATGCTTCTCATCACAGGTTATGGTATTTCAAATGCATCTTTAAGCATAAAGTTTTTAATGAGACATACACTTTCATTTTTCATTGAAAACCTCTAAAATCACCTTATGTATGTATTTTAAAATATATATGAATATACATATATTATATATTACATATATTATATAATTAAATATATATGATATATATTTTAAAATCGAGCAAATGTGCATACAATTTCTCTCAAAACACAAAAGCTTATATAAATTTGCATCAAAATAAAAAATCAAGACTGCTTAATTATAACCCTGCCACCATCAACCTCTAATTTGTGTTAAAGACACTGACATCCTGGGGATATCAACTTAAAATCAGTGTGCTCTCTGAGTGTCTTGGTGTGTGTGCATATGCAATTCACAGGGGAAAAAAGGGGTAGTTTAAGAGAAAGGAAAGAAATGATTTAAAAATTCTCTAGCCATAAATCATTTCACACTTTTAAAATAGCTAGGAAGAGGGAAAATTTATCTTTTTAGAAGACAATGCAGAATAGACATTTAAAACAATGTTTCACCTTTTTTCTATGTCTAAATTTCAATGGATGTTTTCTTTCTAAGCAACCAAGATTTTACAATAATTGTTGCTTAGAAAACACAGTGCTAAAGCTTGACTACCGGTTGCTTGGATGTATTCTATAGACCATATTGGGAAAATGGGGGAGGAGCGGGCTGTTCATTTCTCTCCTTTAGAGTCTATAAATTTTGCAGCAAAATGACTGTTTTTCTCTACATGTTAATTTTTGCCGTCTTCATTACTGTGTGCCTATTTCCAATTTCTTTTGCTAATGTGGAACCCAGCAGCTCTTTGTTCTCATTGTGCCTGTCCTCTCCCTTTCTTTGTGTTGCAGAGATACTGCTACCCGCATCTGCCACTGAGCATGCGGGGGAAAAATCCTTCAATAGGTTCTTTACTTAGGACTTTCAGTAGTAATGCTCCAGTTCTCCAGGTTTTAGTAATAACCAGAATATCGAGAAGATAGACCAAAACTTGGAAAGGTGATGGGTGATACAGGTGGTTAGGTGGTGGGCTAGCAAGCTGGAATGCCACGTAGGGAGAGTTCAGAGTAATCATCACAGGTATTTATCTGATTTATGGAAGCTCTCACCAAACAAGTTAAATGCAGAACACCCACCTTGCACACAGAAACTAGAGATATTCATTGACAAGTAAGAAGGCACAGTGTTTTTCAACAGGAAGGCACAGAGCCATATCCAACACCAATAGATGCAATGTGCTAGGTACTCTAGAGCGATGAAGCACATAGGCACAATCATTGGTACGCAAATTCCCTCAGCAAGGACCTTTCTCATCTGGGGATGACAACCAGTTGTGAGGACTTTTCTCATAATAAAAGCTCAGGCTCTTCTCTGAGTATGTTAAACACTCAAAACGCTAAGTCGATATTAATTCAATGAAGCTTGATTCTTCTCTTTAAAAGGCTTTATTATTTTTTAAAGCAGAGTTGCCCAAAAGCTATAATAAACAGCAGGATTACAGGTGAGATTAGAGGGTACTGGGGCAGAGCCCTGGAGTTTTCTGATTTTTTTTTTTTTTTAGCAAGTCTGACCTTAATAGCTTGTAAATTACTTAATAAATGGAGCTTATACAATTTTACTCGTGTTTCATGCCTGTTTTGTTCACTGCTTTAATCACCAGCTCCTAGAACGTGTCTGGCACAGAGTACGTGCTCAAAGATTTTTTTGTTTAATGAATATATAAGTGTGCAATTGACAGTATGAAAAACTATGCAGCTCTTGTTTTATTATATGGCAAACATTGGTGATAATGGAATAGTGTTAAGTCTGACTATTTTAGGATAAACTGAAGTGAAAACTTGGCTCTTTAGCAGCTAACTAGTTTCCCTCTCATTCTGTCAGGCTCTGATTTCTTCTTCCTTCTCTTTAGCTTCCTTCGTACCACCATTTTGTTTTCGTAATACCAATTAGTGGATTATTACCATCGTCATACATCCTTTCTGTTCCTAATGTCTATTTTTCCGTTTTTAGGATAACCCTCCTCAGCGCTTTGGTTTTCTATAGGTTTCAATAGGTAATGGCTAGTAAACAATGTCGTTAAGCGTAATAATGTTTTTGGAAGGTAGCAAACCAGCTGGCGCGAGATGAACTCCTCTGGGGCAGCGACCTGTAACGGCTTCTTTCAAACCCCGCCCCCGGCTCTGAAACCCGTGAGATTCGCACTCTGCGAAGCGGCGGGAGGAAGTGCCTGTGGCGGGAAAGTTCAGGCCAGATCCAATCACGCACCTGGGATTAGGTAGCCTAGGTGGATGCAGCGACCTGGGACCTCCGCCCGCGCTGCCCTCCCCCTCCGGAGCGCGTCTATCCGCGGGCGAGTCCCCCACCCCCGGACCCCGCCTACCAGACGCCCCGCCCCGTCCCGCCCCGCCTCGGGGCTCCTACTAAAACCCGGAGCCTCCAAGTTGCCCAGGGGACTGGAGGGATGCACTGAGCATGTGCAGAACTGCTTGGCGGCGGCTGCCTGTGTCGGAGGCTGGGGCCCGGTGCTGATGTGGACAGCCCACGCTGCCTCAGCCTCAGTGAGCCCAGTGCCCCGGGCCGGCGCGGCAGGGAAGGAGCCGTAGCCTCCCCGCGGCCCGAGCAGCCGACGCAGCGGCGCGCACCCCTAGGCGGCGGCGGCGTTCCGGGGCCCACGATGATGGCGGAGCAGGTGAAATGCGCCTCGGCGGCGGCCGGCACCGGAGCAGGCTCCGGGCCGGTGGTGAACGCGGAGCTGGAGGTGAAGAAGCTACAGGAGCTGGTGCGCAAGCTGGAGAAGCAGAACGAGCAGCTGCGGAGCCGGGCGGCCAGCGCGGCCGCCGCCCCGCAC